TTGACAAAAATAGATCATGGTATAGAGCTCAAAAAGCCGATTCCAAATATTAAACTGTCAAAGTGATATAATAAATTCATAATAAGTTACGACCTTAGAAGGTTGGTTCTCTACCCTCCTTTACTACCAATTAGTCGTCCCCTCTTGCATTACTAATCTTCTGTCCTCCCCTCACGACGACCAGCGCTAGAATATGTTCTTCGACCCAAAATGACTCCCCTCCCCCATTCCCAGCCGTGTTTTTTCCTGACTAATGAATGGTCAGGAGGCCAATATCTGGTGGGGGCCCTGGGGGCTAGGCCAACAAATTGCAGGCGTCCTTTTGGGGCCCCGGGGCCCTTATTTGGAACGGACACGGCCACCCGGTGCCTTCTCTTCTAAAAAAATGGGATTTCTGACGGCCGCCGGTCACTCAGTGGGTGGAGGGGAATTTTTGGAATTGAAAATTTGACGTATTCTTGCAAAAAAATACAATTATTGGCACGGGGTCGAGGTGCTGACGTTACGGGATAAAAATCGGGGTTAGGTTTAGCAGGGCAGGCTAGCAGCGATTTCTAGGAGACTTTCCGAGTAGAAAGTCAGCTAGCAGAGGTCCCTTAAAGGCCAGAAATTAAAAATTAAGGCTGGAATCGAGCAAATCGGCTGGCTAGCAGAGATTCTTAGGAAAAAACCCCAACGAAAGGTGAGCAAGCTGAGTTCCTTCAGGAAGAAATTGGGAACACCTGGAACTGGAACAACTGGAATGAAGGCGGGATGGCAGATATTCTTTAGGAAAAATTCACGTATGGGGCAAGACAGCAACAGTTTTTTGGATAACTACAAAAAGTAGTTTAGGCAATCTAGCAAAAACACTTTGAGGAATACACGAATCAAGTAAAGGCAACTAGTAGAGATTCCCTAGGAAAATTTCCAAAGTAAATTTGAAGCTCAAAAAATTAAGAAAGTCCCAACCTTTTACAATCCACGATCCGACCCCGTTGAGCAATTGGTCCGCCGCGACCGCGTAGTAAGTGTTTTCCATGAACAAGGCCTGAAAAGGTTACATCTATATTTGCATACCTGACAGAAAAAACTATTAAAAAGTAAGGGAAGGACAAGGAGAACAAGTCGGAGTGAGAGAGCGAGGGTGGGAGAGCGCGCGAGAGAGCGAAAAGAGACTAGAAGTGAGAGAGACTATGGAAATTTGGCACTAAAATCAAGAAAATCGTCACTATTTCCAAACAATAGCCCCTCGCAACAATAATTGAATTGAAGCACCTCTTTTCTGAAGTGTCCAGCCCCTATACTGGTTCTTCCCCTACCCGCTCATTTTGAGTGCTTTGTCGTGCTCTAGCAGGAGGGGGCGGGGCCCACCGTGGGGGGGGCTTTGCACTGGTGTGCTCCTCCTCATGGTAGGGACAGTTCTAGGTCACAAAGAAGTGGATGGGGAAGCTGGGAAAAGCCGCAGGGGCTTGAATTTCAGGTAGAGCGGGGTGGAACCCATCGACAAATGGGATTCGGTGGGGGACCACCTGGGCCGGATATGGGGGTACGAACGGCTGGAACGGCTGTTTTTCGTGGCGTTTTTTCGAAAACAAGCTCCAGGTAGAGGGTCCTACTGGAAGCCTCGCATGTTTAATTTTTTTTCACACAACTAGAAAGGCAGGAATCTTTCCGGTTCTACCGGAAGACACAAAATTTATAAATTTGCTACGATAAGTTCTCGAATTTTTGCAAGTTCCCCCCCCCCCCGGGGGGTTTTGAGAATCTCCCCCCCCCCCCGGCCGGGCCCCGCCCCTCCATCCAAAGCGGGCCCAGACAACACCACAACACCGGGCCCTCTCCAACTCCCCACGAGAAAAAACCCAAAAAAAAAAACCCCCCAATAGGAAAAAAACCCACAAGCAACAACCCGAAAAGGGAAAATGCGGGCAGCCTAAATCAGCAACCAGCCTAATATTTAGAATTTATGGTAGATTTGCGTCGTTTCTGGTCGTCATTGTCGGTATCTTTGTTTTATCGGTATTTTAACTGTCGGGCTTTTTGTAGATAAAATGATGTAAATTGTAGATTTTGAGATTTTCGTCTTTTCGGAATTTTGGTTGGCGTGATTATTGGTGAAATTCGAAGGCAGGAAGAAAGCAATTTGCCACGTTACCTTTAGGTACCGAAATTCACTGAGTAGTGACTATCGTTTGCTGCGCGCGACGTTTGACCCTGACAAACGGCTCGAAACTATGAATGTTAAGCTAAAGAAAAGTTGAGCTTGGATAGTGACAATAAACGGATCGAACTCGCCAAGCTACCGGGCAAAGCTTCACAAAAAAACGAATCGCGACAGTCACCTCGCGTCTCCAATCGTTTAGGGGTGTTCGTGTAAATTGGAAACAAGGCTTACTAACCCGACCTCCTCAGCCATATACTAAACGCCTAGATAGTCTATTCTCAGCCAATGGCCAATCCCGAATGTCCATGTTTTCTCCCCGGGGCTCGACCCTTGCGGGGCACAATCGGGCGCAATTATGCGCGAGCCGCTCTCTTCCTCCCCGATCGCTTTCGGGTCGTTGCCAAAATTGTCGGAGGGTGGCCGGCCAGGCAGTTTGACACGATTAGTAGTATTTAGTTCCGCGCGTAATGGCCGGGAGCCAAGACTAATGGAGATAATTTTCTGGTCAATCCATACCTTACGGGGTGGACCTGAACGGCACTGGCCTGTTGGCGGTGGGTGGAATTTTTGATTGCGAATGCAAATTTTTTTGGACGGCCCCGTAACAAAATATAAACAATTTTTATAGCATTTTGTGCAGTTTTCAGTCATATAAAACTTGCAAAAATGAAAACTAGTGATCTTGGTCAAAAATTAAATTTCAGAGTTTCGGGATTTTTCAATTTTTTATGGCACTCAAAACCAATGAAAACCGTAAAGAATACGTTGTAAATATGTTAAAAGCCAAGACAAAAAAGTGATTCCCGGCCGTTAAAAAGCCCATCGATACAATTCCATTGCCCTGACCAAAAATCGTTGGTTTTTTAATTTTTACCTTTTAAGCACGAATTTCATTAAGTCAATTTTTGTATGCCATTGTGAAACAGAAAATTCTACATATTGTAATTAAATACATGAGATCAAAAATTTCAAAAAAATTTTGCGTGTATGAGGCGGTTCTCTGAACATTCCTAGAACGTTTGCCCCCTCCCCCGCTCGCCGCTGCTACTAGCCATCGCCCTAGTATAAATTTGCATCTGTTTGGGGATGGATACGGCTAGATGTGTAGTGCCTGGGGGCTATGAAGAGCGACGTCCACCCGGGTCACTGGGGGGTCAAAGGCCCAGAAATATGCAAAGTGGATCCGGGGTCTGCAGCTGTAGTTTGGCTGCAAATTTATAGAGGGAAGGAGAGAGAGAGAGAGAGAGGGGGATGAGAAAGATAGTATGGTAATGTACGAAAACAATTGAAAGCAAAATCCGGAAGGCCTTGAAACGCCAAAAACCCCAAATTCCGCCTTTTTCATTCGTCGGTGTGGGACCAGGGCACGCTAGCCCATTTCCATGGTTGTAAAATTGCGCGGAAACGAATTAGCGAGTCATTTATATTGTCGCGGCGCCGTAGAGGGAGGCTAAATTGAGTGCCCCGTAGCGTGGAAGGGTACGGAATATGGGATTTGGTTCCTTCTCTCTCGCTCTCTCTCTCTCTCCCTCTCTCTCTCTACCCCTCTCTCTCTTTGTTCTTCTTTTTTTAGCACAAAGTTTTTGAATTTTTTTATTTTGCCCACGTTCCTGCTTTTTCCGACACACTCCCCGCATTCCAAACGACGCCCCCCCACTCATGACAAATTTGCTGCATTTCATGTGTAGACTTTTGGCACTACCCCTGCCATTCGGTCAACAAACTCATTGGCCCACTGAGAGGCGAGGAGGGGGAGCAAGAAGATGTTTTTTGGGGAGAAGCGGAAGCCACGGATCCACCTTGGCTGAATTGCTAAAAACAGCCTATGGAGATAGACCAAACCAAAACATGAAAAATCAAAATATACTTGTAAAAATTCAGGGCGAAGGGAAAGAGCTGCACGAGAAACAGCGAGAGATAGAGAGAGGGAGGGATAGAGAGAGGGAGAGAGAGAGGGAGGGAGAGAGGGAGAGAGAGGGAGAGAGAGGAAGAGAGAGGGAGAGAGAGCGAGGGGGAGTGAGGGAGAGAGACTGTATAAGCAAAAGAAGAGAATTTTTACTATCATGCCGTGAAATTTAAGTAGCTCCTCCATCCCAAAATGCCCAAGTCTTGCTCTGACCCGGATCCAATCAGGAGTGCCACCAAAAAGTTGCCCTAGTGGCTGGGGGCGAGGATTTGTGGCACGTCCGGGGCCATGTCCCCGGGGATGCGCCAAGGCTCTAAGCAGATTGTAAGCGACGCCCGCCCAAACTAGGGGCCCAGAGAGGGCAACGGAGGCCAAAAATGACAAATGGTGGCTCGGGGTCTTTCCCGGAATAGCCAAATGCATTGCCTTACATTCAATTTGCATATTTTTGGGGATGGAGCTGGATGTTGGAGCATGAGAGTCAGGCTAGATCTCAAGCAAGGGTGAGTTGAGCTAAAGCTCAATCAAGAAGATGACGAAAAGTTGCATTTGAAGAAAATTTTTAGATGCAGGGAAAAGGGTGTGCGGGAGAGGGCCAGTGAAAGCGAAAGAAGAATGAGAGCGAACGGGAGCGAGAGAGAGAGAGAGAGAGAGAGAGAGAGAGAGAGAGAGAGAGAGAGAAGGGGGTGAAAGATGAAGAGGACGCGTGAGCGAGAGGAGTAGAGAGAACGAGATCGACCGGACAAGTCAGAGCAGGAAAACTCCTTGTCATGCGCCCTTTAAAACTGACGAAAATCCAGAAAAAAAATCGGTAAACGCTGAATTAAAGGGAGCAAAAGCTGTCAGTCTATTAGTGTGCGTTTTTATACCTGAACCTCCACGATTTTAATTCCTTTATTTTGCACTCGCAAGGAAAAATACAGACAACGGTGAGCGCCAAAAGATCTAATGGTGTCCATACTCGTAGGGAGAGTAGTAATGGGGCTCGTAGTGCTCCTGATGATGGTCATCGTGGCCACCGTACTGAGGCTCGTAGTGTCCTCCGCCGTAGTGCTGGGGCTCGTAGTGGCTGTAGTGGGGCTCGTAGTATTGGGGCTGTTCCTTGTGGTGGTCGTACTCAGATCCGTGAGCGGCGTGTCCTTGGTTGTAGTAGCCGGCGTTGTCGGATTCTGAAAAATAGTCGATAGGCGCAAACGAAAGAGAGAGAGAGAGAGAGAGAGAGAGAGAGAGAGAGAACCGGAGAGAGAACAAGACAAAAACGTACTCTGTCCCTTGTCGTACTGGCTGTAGTGTCCATCATGTCCGTGGTTCTCCTTGGCGTAGTCGGAGTGATCACCACCGTCCTGAGCGTAGTACTTACCTAAATTCCCGTCCTTTTCAAGCCGTTCAAAAACTAATCCGAAACTTTCCAAATAACTCACCATATTTGCTGTATCCCTTGTTGTCGTACTTTCCATCGCCGTAGTGTTCCTTGCCGTAGTCGTGCGAGTCGGCTCCGTACTTCTTGCCGTGCTTCTCGTCCTGGTGGAACTGCTCCATGTGGTACTGGGGCTGCACGAATTTGTACTCGAAGTAGCCGGTGGACTTGGTCTTGACGTCTGGAAGGAGCGAAGGTTAGGGAGGTTGAGAATCACGCTCATCAAGTTCAAGCAGTTCAACCCCTCCCAGCCCGTTCCTTACCCTTTCCAAAGTGCGAGTCCTCCTTGGCGTGCGTCTTGCCGCCGTGCTTGTCAGCCACGTGCTCCTCGTGCTTCTTCTTCTCGCCCTCCTCGGCCTTGGAGGCGTGGTGGTGGGCCTGGTCGTACTTGTCGTATCTGGAATCCGGAAGTTTGTTAGAGTATGAGGCCATTAATGTCCTAGAGCTGCCACTCACTTTCCATGCTCGCCCTCCTTGCCGGCCTTCTCGGAGCCGTACTCTTGCCCATCGTGATGTGCTCCCTCGGAAGAATACTTCTTCGCCTCGTACTCGCCCTTGTGCGACTTCTCGTCGTACGACGGCATGCACAACGCGGCTCCGACCACAGCGCAGATCAGCAACGTCCTCGGGATCATTCTGAAGGAGGTCAGTACGTTTTTACAGTACAAAATCCGAAAAGTTTTTGAGAGCATATTGTGGCCAAGCGTCAGCAAGTAATACTATTCAGAACTTTTGAAGATACGACGTTTCCCGAAGCGTTTTTAAGGGACGTTCAAGCGTTTTTAACCCACTTTGAAAATGTGGAAAATGTCGAAAAAAACCCCGTAAAAGTTTTGAACTCCTCAGAAAATAAAGTAAACAAAATAAGCCTTAAAAGCCTGAAAAATGCGAGAAAATTCAAGTTTTCCGCTTCAATACTCCAAACGATGCCAGGAATTCGAAAAATGAGCTGATGCTCAGAAAATTGAGCTGAATGGATGGGGAGTGGACGATGCTCCGATACTGTCTTGCCCCGTCTCCCTAAACTTATATACCCCCGACGAGCCGAAATATGTGGGGCATTTTTTTGCGCAGGTATTCCGAGGGGACACATTGCCCTCCTCTCGTGCTCATCAGCTCGAGCTCCTTTGAATACGCATGGGGGATGGTGCTCGGACAATGGACCTTCCTCCTCCTGCTCCTTCTCCGCCACTCTTCTTCCCATCAACCATCAGCGTTCTTCTTTCCGCCCTGTCTGTCTGAGCGTTCCGAGTAGCGTTCCGGAATTCGTGGCGCGCCTGGGGTAGCCACTAGCCAGTAGCGAGGGCTCATGTTATTTCTCGTGACGACATTTAACTTTGGGGACCTGGTAAGTGATGGGATCTGTGCATTAGGTATCGTATTTCAGTACTTTAACGGGATATTCACTTCACAAGATTTCAGATCTCTCTCAAGTGTCTCGTGGACGCCGGATCGTTCTATGCACTAAAGTCAGGCCCATTTTCGCATGGCGAAGAAAATGGGCGGGAAAACTCCATTGATGCATTGAACGTCCCATCCTCATCTATGGCCTTTTCGATGGCGCGCCGTAGAAAATGCCACGACCTCATAGCATCACCGTTCAAAAAAAATCGGACCGTGGTGTTTCTTAACGATAAGTTTGAAACCATACGTGGTGGATTCATCAAAACAACTGGTTATCTTTCTTATCCCAGTCGCGCAGCTTGAAGTGCAAGTAGTTAGGCTTCCAGATCAAGTGAAATTTTTGCGCGCCTTTAAGATGGTATCGTTTCAGTGATGCATGTTCGTTCGACCCCCTTTCAAGTTTCCGACAGGGTGCTGTAAGCCAAATAATTCATTTTCTTTAGTTTCATTTCAGATATTCAGATGGCTGTAAGGAAATAGCAGTTTTTTGGCATGGCTGCATCTTGAAACGTATTGAAGATGCCGAAGAAAGGAACATGGAGTCGAACACCTTGATCGCGTCTTGAAAAAGGCGGGACGACGCTACGAACTGCTTCAAATGACGGCTTATGCCTGCAATCAGCCGGGTACCATACTAAACTTTAGATCTATTTGTATACTCTGCATTCGGCTTTACAGGTTGTTTTGCTATATTTCAAGAAGTATGTTTTCCTTTTTCTGTTTCTAGCTGTTTATTCTTTGAATTTGATGTCTTGGATGCATTTTTTAGAAAAACGTTTTCCAACAGATTATTTATTGTCTTGACGAAGCGGCGTGGAGGGGGTAGGGGGAAGAGACAGGGGGAAACTACATTCATTTCACAAAAGAACACACATATTCAGCATAATGTATAGGGTCGTAAAATATTCAGAGGGCTGCAGGGGGGCGCTACACAATGGCACACGGGTATCGGAGAGTTAAGGGAGAAGTGTATAAAAATGGACCCAGGCTTAAGGTAGATTCAGAAAAAAATCGGGTTTTCCCGGGTCCATAAGTCGATTTTTAGGAAACTACAGTAGTGTCTAAAAATTCCAATTTCAATAATTTAGCAAGATACGGGAGTGGAGAGTTAGAGAGAGAGTGTGTGGAGACGCAGAGATTTTGGCGAAATCGGAGATGACGCGGGAAGTTGATGTCATGTCAAAAAATCAGGTTAAGGGTATAGGGGGTGAAATTGCGGGTTTTCGAGATTTACGGTAGGTTTTGAGGGGTTTTAGCTTGTAGCCTAGTGTACTTTACGCTTCAAATTTCAATACAGTACATTAGGCTGCAAAAGACAACCCCCCGGACGGCAACACAAAAGCACAACACGCGTAACCTAAATACATGTCTCTTGTGGGGCTTGTGGGTGGCGGGCGGGAGTTCAGTTTTCAGGGCAAAATTTAGGGTTTTAAGGCCAGGAGGGTACGGTATTTAGGTCAAGATTTAGAATATCGTACCCCCAAAACCTCAAAACTCCAGGGTACATAAAAATCTAGAAAAATCCAAGCATGCAGCGCGGGGGTCATCACACGGAGTGCAGAATCATTGGTGGGGCCGTAGGAAAGTGGGGGAAAAATCGGAAAATATTTTTTAAAAATTAAACGTCTATAGAAAAACAATAGAAATTTGCTTTTTCCCCAAACCGAGTTGTATTTGGAAGAAATCACAGTAAAATGGGGCGGTCTGCATGGTTAGGCTTAGGCTTAGGCTTGGGCTTAAGCTTCACCTAGGCTTAAGCTTACTCTTAGGCTTAGGCTTAAGCCTATCCAGTGCAGACCGGAAAGACGGATAGTACATATGAGCACGCTAGAACTTTCGGGGGGTGTCTATAGGACAGTGGGGGAATTTTTGGGGTCAAAAGGGTAGATGAATTTCGGAGAGTACGGTAGCAAACTTCAACCTATTATAATCGTCCAGAAATGCTACGTACCTTCCAAAATACGGCCGCAAAATCGTGGGTATTCATACAGTGGGCGGGTCACTTTCTAGGGGACCAAAAAGTCACAAAAAAAAGATTAAATTTGTATTTTTGAAAAACCGCTAAAAATAGGGATGTTTTAAAGGGACCGGGAAGCTTGGCTCTTAGAGAAAAAAGGTTAAAAAATTAACTGTTTTTGGCGGATCAACGAAAAAAACATTGGCTGCGCGCTGTCGGCGGCGGCTGGGCTGAAAGACGGGTGCACGATAAGAGAAAATCGGTTTTTGAGAGCGGTTAGAGAGATGGTAGGGGGCGAGAGAGTGGGCGAATTGGAGAGCGGGGAGGGGGGCAGAGAAATATACAGTAGACAATTTAGAGGGTGGCCGGGGTACTGTAGAGTACTGTATTATGCCCAAGAGCCGCCAGGGTCATCAGTGGAGGACCGGGAAGCCCAGAAAAGGGTCCCGGCTGGAGGCTGGGGTGGTCTGGGGAATTTTGGGAAATTCCGCAGACCCACCTTCGCACCCTGGAGATCAGAGATTGTCCCCGACGGCTCGCTGGGCAGAGATTAAGGGTGGAGAGTGGCCAGAAATGGATTTGAGTTTTTTTGGGGCACTGTAGCCAGGGCAAGCTTTAGAAAACAGAACCTTAATGTAAACAAATTCGGAAAAGTTTGGTTTCCCTGCTGTATTTCATTTTTTAGATCTTGATGACGATTTTGAATAGTTTAAAAGCGTTTAAAAAGCAGAAAACTTAAACTTGATTAATTTAAATAGTTTTTGAACCGGAAAATCTAAGTTTTAAATGATGTTTAAGCCAAATTCCAGGCTTAAGTTAAGCCGCAAAAATACGAAATTCGGCTATTTTAGTTTCAAAATTTCGATTTTTTCAAAAAATGCGGCTTTTTTCTAAGTCTTGCCCTAACTACGGTACCCAAAAATTCAAATCCATCCCAAATAAAAAAGGAAAACAACTACGCGGTCATCTTACGGGTCAAGTGAGAGAGCGGTGAACGCTGGGCCGTCGAAAAAATTGCAAAAAAATCAGCATCAAGACCTTTTTTGCACTCTTCCGGGGCGGCTGAAAGACTTGCTGGAGTTGGCGGCGGTGGTGTAGTTTGGAGCGTGTGGACGTGGGGGGTGAAAGATGACACGGTAATCACAATTATTTTCCGAAAATCGCACGAGATTTTCGAGAGCCAAGGCGTTGCGGGGGCGGGTGAAAGACTGGGCGGAGATTGAAAGGGGCGCGTAGTTTGGAGCGGTGTTTTCGAAAAATTTCAGGAAATTAGAAAAGAGAAAAATCAAATAATTCCGACTAAACGTGACGAGACGACACACACAACACAGAAGCGCGCGACTAGGTGGGTACGAGCAAAAATTGGGGGCGGCGACGAAATGGGGCTATTCCAGCGAAGCTGATTACGGTAGAGAGGGCGATTTTTAGAGATTTATATGTGCACATGGCAGCGAAGAATGCTGGTTCCTCGATGATGGTGGCTTGGAGGGTTGAAGGTTTCTAAAAGAAAAATTGAGGCGTGGAAACTAAAATTAGTCGACATTCTGATTTATCTCTTTCGCTCTCTCCTTCTCTCTCGTTCTCTCTCTCTCTCTCTCTCTCTCTCTCTCTCGTTCTCTACCCTCCTCTCTGTCTCTCTCTCTCTCTCTCTGTCTCTTTCTCTCCCGCTCACTTTTTCTATCAACCTACCATTGATGTGTCGGTGGTGTAGGCTCCGCTGGAATCGGGGTGTTTTGACAAGAATTCTGGACGGGTAGTGGTTGTCGAAAAATCAGGAGAAGACGAAGGGGGAAGGGGGATGAAAGACCGGACCGGATGTTTGGCTCTGAAAAATAGCCTTTAATATAGGTATATTTTAAGAATAAAGCATCTACATCTGGCACTTTCGAAAGCTGCTTCAAAAATTCTAGAAAGCAAAAAACGCGGAAATACAGCGAAAGGTTTCGAATTTGAAGCAAGAAACCAATTATCGCATGTAAAACTAGGTATCCCTAAAAAGCAATGAAAAGCCATACCTATTTATCCACACGCTCAGCGCCTTTGGCCGATTTCGAAGCCGCGAGGGCCGAGAAGAGGGCGTAGACGGCCGCGTTCACATCTGGAAATGAAAGAGTTGATAAAAATCTATATAAAAACTAAGTTTCAATCAATTATTGAAAAACGTGGCCAGTTTCTACTAGAAAAATATGGAAGAAGACGCAGAGAAGCATCATTTTCGGTATCCCATAATGCAGAGTTGACAGTGAGCGGAACGCTGTGTTGGGCAAACAAGGAGCAGCCGGCCAGACGGCGTATGCGCGCGCGATAATATTTTGTTCGATTGGACCGGGGATTGATTGACTAATGAATGCCTAATGGGTTTTTTTATTCTTGCTCGCCAGGGAAGGGTCGAAATACAATATTTAAGAGGCCAAAATATATGCTTACGAAAGTTGGCGGCCGATCCTCTAAAAAACTAATTTTTTGAAAAAATGTGTTGCTTATGTTTTTAAAAACCATTGTCATTTTTTAAAAATTACCGCAACCTTATAAATAGTCATTTAGCTTTCGGGTTTTTTATGAGTTTTTACAATACCACACAAAGTTTTTCATCATTTGAGGGTTTAAAAGAAGACCTCAAGGCTTTGTTAAGCTTTAGGTAAGCGTAATAAAATCTAAAAAATCAAAATAGTTAGTAGTTATGCTATAGCTACAGTAATCCAGCTCTAGGTATCGCTTTGAATTTTCGAAACTTAAATAAAAAGCTCGACAAGGGGTTGAAGCAGAAATACGAAGTCACGGGGCCAAAAAAATTGCGAGCTTTAAAAATCCGTCGAAATCGGAATAAAGTCTGCTTTAATTTTACTTATAGTTGGTTACAGTAACTACGCTCTATTAAATGAATCTAAAATTGAATTCCTAAACCCAATGAAAAGCCGGGAAAATCGGTTGAATGGACAACCGAGAGGGCAGCTTGAAACGTGGCGCCCCCCCGCCCCCATCCATCCCGCCGACATATTCGGTGGATGGCCCGGGCTTTTGCCCCGGCCATCGGCCCCCCACGCTTTATATAACGCCCCCTGCTTCACATTCGCTTTTATGCTTTTTGTTTCTTTTCGGGGGGGGGCTGGGATCGACGCGGTGAGCGAAATTGACGGACGGGTGGTGGCCGGCGGGGCCGCGAATTCGATAAGAAATTCTGGGATTTTGGTCTTTGACAATTGGCATTCAGCGACCAAAAGTTTTTTAAAGTTTGCGACTACGGTAGACGGGTCAGTTTTTAGGCAATACAGCCAGAAACTAAGTTTGGGTACCAAAAGGATCTCTCATCAATTCCGGCAATGCGGCTTTTTGCTGGCGCATCAATTTGGGCCAGGGTGGGTGATTGGTGATAAGGGAAGATGATTCTTCGGTGGGTTTGGAAAGCGTAGTAGCAAAGAAGCGTAATTTGGACCTTGCTAAAGTTAAATCCTCAGGAACTTGAGGATACGGAAATTTATGTGTGTTTTAGAACGCAATAAGGCTAGAAAACGCTAGAAAATCCTAGAAACGGCCAGAAAAAGCTTTATCGCCAACGATCTAGGTGAAGCTCGAAGGCGGAAACCCAATTTTTCAATCCATTAACCGATGTACACCGACCTTTTCGCCCGGTTTTAAGACTTGTCTGACGGTTAGAGCGAGAGAAAGAGCGAGAGAGTGAGAGAGGGACAATGAAAGCAAGAGAGGGACCAATTGATATACGATAAGAGACCCCCGAGAAGAAAGTGAACCGTCGTCGCCTGGGGGCAAAAGACGGTCCCGGGCGTGGAATTGGGTCAGCCGAACAATCGGGCTCCTTGTCTTGTCTTTCAACGCGGGAAGGAAAAGCCGCTTTTTGAGGGTCGTGTCGGGATCGCTTTCGCTTGGTAGCGAATTGAGGGGGTTCGGGAATGGGGGGTGAACTTTCGATTAAACGACTTTTAACGCTATAGTCTGAGGTGTTTTAGGCTTAGGTTTGGGTTTATTTAGGCTTAGGCTTAGGCATCTTAAGCTTCGGCTTACAAGTTTTGTTAGGCTTAGGCGTAGGCTTGGGCTTTGTCTAGGTTACGGTAGAACGTGCAATCGTCTAGTTTTCAGCGCAAAAAAAACTCGGTAACTTTTGCAAGTCAGCCTCCCGCGCTAAAAGTGTCACTCAAAAATTGAACCCGGCTTTTTTGCCACTAATTGACGGCTAGGCAAAAATCTGAATGGAGACTGTCAGGTTGTCTAGGATCGGTCAAGTGAGAAAAAAGCCAATACGACAAATTGATAGGAAAAGTCGGGTTCCAGGGGCCGGGCGGAGGGACAAAGACCTCCTGGGAATGTGATAAGCCACTCAATTCCAAGGCGGTCTCGGCATGGCGAATCAAGAAAATTTGAATTTACAAACCCTAAATCTTAGTATAAATTTTTAGACAGCAATGTAGCCTTATTTAAGGGATTGCCCGTTAAAAATTGAAATTTTAAAATTCCTGGATTTCCAGGCGTTTTTCCAGTTAAAACGCAATTGTCAAGATTTACTACTTATACAAGTTATAGCTACTTTGAGATTACCTCATCCGTATATTATGAAAATCAATCCCGCCCGACGACGAAACGATCCATTCTCCGCCCCGGCTCGGCCATGATCGGCGGTGGCGGGGGCGACAAATCGAGAGGAGCACAGGGATATCAATTTACGCCCCGCCCTCGCAAAACCGTCCCCCACCACCACAGCTACGCCAAGCCAAGCCATGGAGTTGACCATCAGCGCCTAATTTGATCAAGGGGGTAGGATTGTGATATCGGGCGAACGGTTTCGGCGCGTCGAACATCATCCGGGTGAGGAATTTGGGGAATGCGTGGATAGGTTGACGTCGTAGCTATGAAAAAGCTAGGGGTTTATACGATCTCTTTCGGGTTAGAGCTTCGGAAAAAGTCGAGCTCGAGCACATCTGGGGGCTTAGGGTTAGGAACAGGCTTTGGCCTAGGCTTAAGAACCGCTTAGCTAGCTTTAGGTTTAAGCTCAGGCTTAGCGTTGCACTAACACTTTAAAATAACCCGAAAGTCAAAGCTCTGAGAAATGAAGAAAACGACCTCCCAGACGATTAGCTTAACTATGAGGTCTCGCCGGTTATGACGCAGTTTTCCAGTACCTCGATAGATGGTGGAGTGTGGAGGCAGGAATCGCCACATCTCCGAGGGGGCAAACATTTCCGGGCGCCTCCACCGCCGTCTTGCCCACCTCTCTGGGTGGCGCCTCGCGGAATTTTGGGGCGCCACCAGCACGGACCGGCGGGCGCGCCCAGGGTCCAATGATTGGCCAGCTGATCACGGGTTTCAGGGGTGGTTTCGATTACCGTTTACAGCTTAATTGTTAGAAGTTGCTGTTTTGATCGGGAGCACGAGTTCTGGTTTTTCAGAGTAATACAAAGAGTAAAGCAAAACTCAAAATATTGAGATCTACAGCGTCTCTCGGACTTTTCATTGGATTTAGGGATTTCAAGAACTGGAAAACCCACTAAACGCACGGAAAACGCTTTTGAAAACTGAGAAAACCTTTGAAAAAGAGATTTGAAAGTCAATTTCGCGGTGGGTTTCGGCAAAAATGAAGAAAGGGATCAATCGGAAGTGTCAAAAACCTGAAGTTTGCGTTTTGAAAAGCTGGAGCAAAATTCAAAAGCAAAATGCCATTTGAAGGAATACAGCAAGAGCGCAATTTGAAGCAATCCGGACTTGTTATTATGTTGCCTTTCGGATGAATCTGCCCAAGGAACATATGAAAAGTCAGCCGCCTAGCCAGGCTGAATTGCCATCTCCAGACCAGCGTTTAGGAAGGGGGAAACTGTTGGTGAAGAGATAAGTGGGCTAGTCAAAGCTTCTTCTCCTCCTTCTTCTTCCAGCCCAGCCCTCACCTCCGGACCCTCGAGTGCCAAACGGCTTGCGTCAATACTTTCTCTCGCTTGCTCTCCCCCTCTCTCTCTCTTTCTCTCGCTAACGATCTTTTTTTCTAAGGGGATACGGTAGCTGCTACGCATTTCCCGATCAAAGACCAGGATATCGAGGGATTACTGGAACCGCGGGACAGAACGAGAGAGAGAGAGAGAGAGAGAGAGAGAGAGGGCTAGCAGAGGTAATTGCGGAAACCATCGAAAATCCGATCAAACCAAAAGCGCCAAACTGGCCATTTTTATTCGGCGCCGCGGTCCCGAAATTTGCGTCAACATCCATGGGGAAACCGGTTTATAACTGTGCGAATATGAGCCGGTTCTTTGGTCCTGAATTGCCTGAGACTGCTGCCCACGCAAGGTTCTGCAAGCGTAATGATGTCAAATTTGCAGATGCGAATTTGGTCCCAAAAACGATGGCAAAACCGAAAGTCAAGCCGGGTGGCTGCGTAAATATAGGGTAGCGTGGGTAGATGGGCAAAATGCAAAATGCCGACATTTAGTGGGAAGTGGGTTTTGGGCTTAGGAATTTGGCATTAAGCGGGGGATTTGGAGAGCGTGAGAGACAGACAGAGCGAGAGAAAGAGAGGGGGTAAGAGAGCGAGAATGAGAGAGTGAGCGGAGAGAGAGCGAGAAGAGAGATACAGAGAAGTAGAAACAGGCTGAGGGCAATCTCTAATTTGGAAAACCGTGAAAATTTCGAAAAACTAAAAGGCAGAAAAAATTTTCTTGGCTTCTCGGTCACTTTAGGTAAAATACACTATGTTTTGCATTCGGGCTACTAGGTATCGGAAAACCCATTAACTGGACAAATTCGTACTTTTATGCCCCCCCTCCCCAGTACCGCAGTACTACACTGTAACACCACAAGATAAATGCCCTTCTCATCCCAGGAAAGCTACTTTTTACAAAAACCGCTTCCCGAAAAAACCGGAAGTTGGGCAGAGATCCGTAGGGCCCCAGGGGCTTTTTGGCCATTGGATCAGGGGAATGGAGGGTATGCGACGGGGGATTGTCCATGTGCCTTCTTCTTTCCCTTTTTGTCTCCCTGTCATGTTACACACCTTGAGCCGATGGCCACATTCTCTTGCGGCTTTTTCCGGCAGCCAACCGCCCCAAAAATACTAGACCTTTAGGGGCTGGGGTGCTGGATGGGATTGATGTGTGTGTTGGG